AGACGGCCACAGAAACGATGCGCCGACCACCGCCCTTGTTCGATGGCCACCCAACAGCCGCTGCTGCTGGCGCTAGTGAGAATGACCGGAGTTTGTGTGATGGTGGTCTCCTCCGATGAGCGCCAACAGCGGGCGAAACCGGCCCCTTCCAGCCGATCACGATGATGATAATGCCCCTGTCTCGGAGGGTTCTACCGGTAGTTTTGTTGATCTGGTGGTCTGGACAAGGCTGAGGGAGAGCTTTTGGTAAAACGTGCATTACTGCACGTACGCAAACAGGTGCATACACGCATACAAATACAAAGGTCCCCCGTGTAGCCTGAACAGACTGTTGGGGCAAGTTCCGTGAGCGAGTAGCACTAAAACGGCCGGCATGGTACGGGAGGGGGTAGAGGGGCAGAACCACCACGCCCGGCCGCCTTTGTCTCCCCAAAATGGCGATGTTGACTACACACTGCACCAGGTGTGTAGTGGACAGAGGGGAGGCCCGGGACCGGTTTAGATAATTGGTGTTGGCCGTGAGTGGGAATTGAACTCGGGTCGCCGTTTTGGCTGCGCCACCGCTCCGCCCAGCACGTGCTGAATCTCACCTCACACCTCTTCCCTGTCCTTCACACCTCCCTGCTGCCCCCCCCCCCACTCTCCCTCCCACCCCCTCTCTCCCTCCCTCACTTTTTCCTCCCTCTCTCTCCCCCCTTTCTCTCCCCCCCTGCCCTCTCCCACCACTCTCCCCACTCTCTCCCCCCTTTCCTCTCCCCATCCCCTCTCCCGCCGCCTCTCTTTCCCCCACCCCCCCATTTTTACCCCCATCCCACCACTCTCTCCCCCCACCCCCACTCCCCTCCCCCTCTGTCTCCCCCCACCCCGTCCCTCTCTCTCCCCCCACCCCCTCCCTTCCTATCTTCCCCCTCCTCTCTCCCTCTCCCCCTCTTTCCCCTCCCCCCCTCTCCGCTCCCCTTCAGGCCCCGAGGGCTGTAACCTCTTCATCTACCACCTCCCGCAAGAGCTGGGCGACATGGAGCTCATGAGGACGTTCTCCCCCTTCGGCAGCGTCATCTCCTCCAAGGTCTTCCTCGACCGTGCCACCAATCAGAGCAAGTGCTTCGGTAACTCCACCAATCGACTCGCTCCCCTCACAGACCCCCCCCCCCCCACCATCTCGACTCCCCCACCAATCAGAGCACGTGCTTCGGCAAGTCCACCAAGACAACTCAAACTATAAAAATTTTGTATTTTACTTTGACCAGGTGAGGCCCACAGAACGACTGTGGGCTTTCAGAAGGGCCCATCACAAATGATGGCTCAATGAAGTAGCTTCTCGTCGTTTTCACCATCGTCGTGTGGAGATTTAGATCAGCAAAATGCTCCAAACGTGTGATCTCAATTGTAATGTCAAGGGAGAAACTGAATGAGAGACAAAGACACGTGACCACGGGGAGATGGACATGCACACTCATGCAAATAAACTAAACTTAAACTATCTTTTATTTCACCAGGCAAGCTCCACTGAGCTGCTACGTCGCTCTTTATCACAGTGCCCCGGCCATCACAGATGGCAGCGCAACGCGTGGCTTCTCATCACCACGTGGCTTCTCATCACCACGTGGCTTCTCATCACCACGTGGCTTCTCATCACCACGTGGCTTCTCATCACCACGTGGCTTCTCATCATCACGTGGCTTCTCATCACCACGTGGCTTCTCATCACCACGTGGCTTCTCATCACCACGTGGCTTCTCATCACCACGTGGCTTCTCATCACCACGTGGCTTCTCATCACCACGTGGCTTCTCATCACCACGTGGCTTCTCATCCACGTGGCTTCTCATCACCACGTGGCTTCTCATCACCACGTGGCTTCTCATCACCACGTGGCTTCTCATCACCACGTGGCTTCTCATCACCACGTGGCTTCTCATCACCACGTGGCTTCTCATCACCACGTGGCTTCTCATCACCACGTGGCTTCTCATCACCACGTGGCTTCTCATCATCACGTGGCTTCTCATCATCACGTGGCTTCTCATCACCACGTGGCTTCTCATCACCACGTGGCTTCTCATCATCACGTGGCTTCTCATCACCACGTGGCTTCTCATCACCACGTGGCTTCTCATCACCACGTGGCTTCTCATCATCACGTGGCTTCTCATCACCACGTGGCTTCTCATCACCACGTGGCTTCTCATCACCACGTGGCTTCTCATCACCACGTGGCTTCTCATCACCACGTGGCTTCTCATCACCACGTGGCTTCTCATCACCACGTGGACATTTATAGCAGCAGCGGCAGCAGCAACATACTCTTGAACGCGTGATGTTCATTCTAAATGTAGAGGGGAAAACCGGAGGACCCGGAGAAAAATCCACGCGACCACGGGTAGAGAGAGAGAGAGGAGACGCAAACTCCAAATGTACAGCAGCAGCAGCAGGCGTCGTCAGGGTCGGGATCGAACCCACGACCTCCTGCATCTCACAGACCCCCCCACCCCTCCCCCTGCACACACCCCCCCCCCGCCCCGTGAACAATAAGTTAATACCTCAGTGGGCTTTACCTGGTAAGATAAAAACATGATCTAGTTTTACTTGTATATGTTTAAGTTATATTTTTAATCTTTCCTACACTTTACTTGTTTGTTGTATTGTGTTGTTGTTGTATTGTGTTGTTGTTGTTGTGACCCCGTGCCCCCACTGGATATCTGTGAAAAAGAGCTTCATAGCTCATCGGATTCCTCCGGTATGAATAAATATTCTGATTCTGTTAGTTTCTGCTACTCGCTCAACAGCACTTGCCCCCACAGCCTATTAACGGTTACCCGGGGGACCTTTGTCTTTGATGGGTGTAGGGTTCGTGAGCTTCGACAACTCTGGGAGTGCTCAGGCGGCCATCCAGGCCATGAATGGTTTCCAGATCGGCATGAAGAGGCTGAAGGTGCAGCTGAAGAGGTCCAGAGACTCGAACCGCCCTTACTAAGAGTGGGGGGCTCTCGCCCCCCCCACCCAACTCAGCCACACACACAGAGGTAACAACACACAGCGTACACACCCACCACACACACACTCCACACACACAGCTTACACACACACAGCTTACACACACACAGAGGTAACATCACACAGCGTACACACACAATCTACACACACACTCCACACACACAGCTTACACACACACAGAGGTAACAACACACAGCGTACACACCCACCACACACACACTCCACACACACAGCTTATACACACAGCTTACACACAGAGGTAACAACACACAGCGTACACACACAATCCACACACACACTCCACACACACAGCTTACACACACACAGAGGTAACAACACACAGCGTACACACCCACCACACACACACTCCACACACACAGCTTACACACACACAGCTTACACACACACAGAGGTAACACCACACAGTGTACACACACAATCTACACACACACTCCACACACACAGCTTACACACACACAGAGGTAACAACACACAGCGTACACACCCACCACACACACACTCCACACACACAGCTTATACACACAGCTTACACACAGAGGTAACAACACACAGCGTACACACACAATCCACACACACACTCCACACACACAGCTTACACACAGCTTACACACACACAGAGGTAACAACACACAGCGTACACACACAATCCACACACACTCCACACACACAGCTTACACACACAGCGTACACACCCACCACACACACACGCCACACACACAGCTTATACACACAGAGGTAACAACACACAGCGTACACACACAATCCACACACACAGCGGTAACAACACACAGCGTACACACACACTCCACACACACAGCTTATACACACAGCTTACACACACACAGAGGTAACAACACACAGCGTACACAGAATCCACACACACACACACTCCACACACACAGCTTACACACACAGCTTACACACACACAGAGGTAACAACACACAGCGTACACACACACACACTCCACACACACACACTCCACACACACACACTCCACACACAGCTTACACACACGCAGAGGTAACAACACACAGCGTACACACACACTCCACACACACAGCTTATACACACAGCTTACACACACACAGCGTACACACAATCCACACACACACTCCACACACACAGCTTACACACACACAGAGGTAACAACACACAGCGTACACACACACTCCACACACACAGCTTACACACACAGCTTACACACACACACAAAGGTAACAACACACAGCATACACACACAATCCACACACAATCCACACACACAGCTTACACACACACACAAAGGTAACAACACACAGCATACACACACAATCCACACACACACAGCTTACACACACACAGAGGTAACAACACACAGCGTACACACACACTCCACACACACACACTCCACACACACACTCCACACACAGCTTACACACACGCAGAGGTAACAACACACAGTGTACACACACACGCTCCACACACACAGCTTATACACACAGCTTACACACACACAGAGGTAACAACACACAGCGTACACACAATCCACACACACAGCTTACACACACACAGAGGTAACAACACACAGCGTACACACACACTCCACACACACAGCTTACACACACAGCTTACACACACACACAAAGGTAACAACACACAGCATACACACACAATCCACACACACTCCACACACACCTTACACACACACAGAGGTAACATCACACAGCGTACACACACACTCCACACACACACTCCACACACACACTCCACACACACAGCTTACACACACAGCTTACACACACAGCGTACACACACAGCGTACACACACACAGAGGTAACAACACAGCGTACGCACACACTCCACACACACCTTACACACACACACAGCATACACACACACACAATGTACACACACACAACGTACACACACAACGTACACACACACAACGTACACACAGCATACACACACACACAGCATTGGGTGTTGGCCGTGAGTGGGAATCGAACCCGGGTCGCCGGGTTTATAGCGCAGCACGCTAACCGCTACACTACCGCTCCCCACACAACAACAACAACAACCGCCATTCGCCACCAAGTTACGGTGACGTCACCAAGGCGCTTGTGCCAGGCTCGGTGCACTCCGAGGCTATGTGAAGCATCGAAGGCTCTCTGCTGACAGGAGGTCACCGGACAGACCCAGCAGGATCGACTGACTGAAATGACTGGCCGATGCACCAGCTGTGCCCCCTTCTGTGCCAATTTGCTGTGTTGTGACGATTCTCTGATCTGGTCCTGGGCCTCCCCTAGGTTGACTTGGCCTCAAATTACTACCTGGTGTGGTGTGTAAACATTGCCACTGGGGAGACAAAGGCGGCCGAGCGTGGTGCTGGCCACCCACCCCCTCGTGTGCCGTGCCGCCCTTCATAGGTGCTCGCTAACGGCACTTGCCCCAACAGTCTGTTAAGGCTATACAGGGGATCTTTGTCTTTATTGTTGGTATTAGTGGTCCTGTGGTGTTGGTATGAGCGGTAGTAGTGGTGATATTGTCTCTATTGTAATGTTTCCGTGTGTGTGTGTGTGATGGTGTGTGTGTGTGCGTACGTATGTATGTGTTTTTGACAGGAGGACAAAATGAGTGTGCATCAACACTCATCACTCTCACTCGCGTCAAGATCACACACACACACACACCATCACACTCACATACACCATCACACTCTCACACACACACCATCACACACACACCATCACACTCACACACACACCATCACACTCACACACAACACACCATCACACACACACACGCACCATCACACTCTCACACACACGCACCATCACACTCTCACTCACACACCCCATCACACACACACACCATGACTCTCACACACACACACCATCACACACACACCAAAGACAAAGAAACCTCGGAAAGCATTTAACAGACTTGCGGCAAGTGCTGTTAGTGAGCACGTTTGAAAGCCGGCACAGCACACGAGGGGGTGGGTGACCAACACCACGCCCGACCGCCTTTGTCTCCCCAGTGGCGACGTTTACACACCCGCACTAGGTCCTCATTTGAGGCTGAGTCGACCTACGGGAGGCCCAGGACCGGTTTAGATAATCGTCACTGGTGTTGGCCATGAGCGGGAATCAAATCCAGAACTCGGGTCGCCGGGTTTGTAGGGCAACGCGCTAACTGCTGCACTACCACCCCCCCCACACACACACACCATCACACTCTCTACACACAATCACACTCTTACACACGCACACTACACAGTGACCCAATCAGATACATAGAGACACATAGAGATACATAGAGACCCATAGAGACACATAGAGACGACACACATGTACTCACAATGGGGACTATACACGCTCTACGTGGGTGTATAAATGTACACACACAACCGTCTAACGCAACAGTTGGCAGGCCGTCGAGCTCGTGGCGCCCAGTGGTGGCGAAGACGGCGGCCACGGCGGTGAGCCCCGAGCTCTCGCGCAGGGCCCCCCTCTTATCCTCCCGGCATTGCCTCACCACGCCCCCACCACGTGGCCTCGCTCCGCCCTCACCACGCCCTCACCACGCCCTCACCACGATCTCACCACGCCCTCACCACGCCTCACCACGCCCTCACCACGTGGCCTCGCTCCGTCCTCGCCACGCCTCACCATGCCCTCACCACACCCTCACCACACTCTCACCACGCCCTCACCACGCCTCACCACGCCCTCACCACGCCCTCACCACGCCCTCACCACGCCCTCACCACGCCTCACCACGCCCTCACCACGCCTCACCACGCCCTCACCACGCCTCACCACGCCCTCACCACACCCTCACCACGCCTCACCACACCCTCACCACGCCTCACCACACCCTCACCACACCCTCACCACGCCCTCCCCACGCCCTCACCACGCATCACCACGCCCTCACCACGCCCTCACCACACCCTCACCACGCCCTCACCACGCCCTCACCACGCCCTCACCACACCCTCACCACGCCCCACCACGCCCTCACCACGCCTCACCACGCCCTCACCACGCCCTCACCACGCCTCACCACGCCCTCACCACACCCTCACCACACCCTCACCACGCCCTCACCACGCCCTCACCACACCCTCACCACACCTCACCACGCCCTCACCACGCCTCACCACACCCTCACCACGCCCTCACCACGCCCTCACCACGCCTCACCACGCCTCACCACGCCCTCACCACGCCTCACCACGCCTCACCACACCCTCACCACGCCCTCACCACGCCTCACCACGCCTCACCACGCCCTCACCACGCCTCACCACACCCTCACCACGCCCTCACCACGCCTCGCTTCTGGAACCTACTAGCAGGTTCCCGGGACTTCCAGGTGGCCCCCTCCATGAACTTTGCCGCGATGTTTTACCCCCCCCCCCCCCGTGTGTATATACTACGGTGTCGCCTCTTGCCGTGCGCACTGCCGTGTCTTGGAGTTGCAGTTTGTAAGCAGCAGCCAGCGCTATTGCACTACACACAAATACACAAAGCAGCAGCAGCACGACCTCCACATTGGGACATCGATCTTCTGCAAAACAACAACATTGATGCTGACGTCAGAAGCAATACATAAATCAGCAGTATTGGTTCAATGCAAGCAAACCTGTGGACCGGTTTCGACTTCCGATGTATCAGCAGCAGCAGCAGAGGCAGGCTTTGCTTGAACCAATGCCGGTGAACTGCCCAGATGTTTATAGGCAAGGACCGGTATTGACGTTCAGTGTCTCATCATCAGCAGCAGCAGCAGCACACTTAGGACATGGATCTCCTACACAACAACGACATTGCTAAAGCCACCACCTCGTGCAACACGAGTGGTCGGACCGATGAGAAGGGCCGGTGTGGCGATTGGAAGCTGGCGGGGGGAGGGTCTGCCATCGTCGTATCCAAACATCGCGATCACGTCGCCGCTGCCATCTGGCAATTTGTTTTCTCTCTGAACCCAACCGGGCTGAGAGACCTCATCGACAACAACAACAACATCAACAATACCAATTTCAGAATGTGCAATATGCTGGGGGAGAAATCCGATGAGCTATGAAGCTCTTTTTCACAGATGGTGCAGTAGGAGGTCACGGGGTCAGACCGTTACCACAACAACAATAAACTATAAAAACGTGATCGGAGTGCAAAGTACAGGAAAGGCAAACAAATCACCGAAAAGGATAGAAATCCAACTAAACCACCCCCATCCTACCAGGTGAGAGCACCCTATTACGTTATTCTTTTCATAGGCGACCTGGCCATGATGTCGATTTTAAATGTGGAAGGGGTAAACTGGAGGACCTGGAGGAAAATCCACGCAACTCCAAATATACTCAAACTGCTTTTTCAGGTAAGGCCCCACTGAGCTATATTTTGGCCGTCACAAACGAGAGCTCAAACAAGTGGGCTGGTCATCACGTGGGGATTTATAGCGGCACAATAATCTCACCTCGGCGCACGTTTCTACAATAATACATAGCCGGCGCCACGCGACTCACGTGTCTGTTGGGTGGTGGAGGGCCTCGCGAGATTTTGGGCGCCCCAAACAAAACTAGAAGAACCATCGGCGGTGGTGGTGAGTGGCAGGACCGCCAAGTCCATCGGCTTGCTTGCACGGGCTGCCCCGGGGGCACAAGCGGCTACATTCGGCCCTGGGGGCACCCAGCCCCCCTGGGGTTTGGTTCCCAGGCCTTGTGAATCCTGAGGGCTCTGGGAGGGGGGGGGGGGGCATGGGGGGGTGGCTGGGTAGGTGGGGGAGAGGGGTAACTCAGGCGAGGTGGTCACTGGCTCTGGTGGTCAGATTCAGAATCAGAATATTTATTTACACCGGAGGAATCCGATGAGCTCTAAAGCTCTTCACAGATGTCCAGCTGTGACGCGGCGCTCGTGCCCGTCGGGCTGACCACGCGAGGGCTGCCCAGTCCCCCCTCCCCTCCTCCCCCGGGTAGCCCCCCCCCAATCCCCCTCGGTGCCCACCCCCTCTTTACCCCACGGGGGGGGGGGGGGGCAAGGGGATTCAATGGGACTCGTGACTACATCCACACAAAGGCAAAGATCCCCCGGGTAGCCTCTGAACAAGCTGTTGGGCAAGTGCTGTTAATGGGGCAGTAGCAGCAGCACCTATGAAGGCCGGTACTGGTGTGGCTCCAACACAACTACTGCTCGGCCGCCTTTGTCTCCCCAGTGCTGATGTTGATTGCACAGCGCACCATCGTGCATTTTTTATGCTAAGTCGACCTAGGGGAAGGGAGGAAGGCTGTGAGTGGGATTGGGGGTCACCAGGGTTGTGGCGTGGCCCAGCAATAACTTCCCGGCCACCTTTGTCTCCCCAGTGCTGATGCCGTTTTTTTGTTTTATACAGCACCGGGTACTTTTAAGGCTGGGTCGACCTAAGGGAGGGAGGCCCCATAACCACGAAGCACATTGGCCGGTTGGTGCTACTGAGTGAGAGAGAACGCGCGATATCTACACCGCGTTATATTTATTGAGAAGCTAATTTATGGTTTATCAAGGGGGAGGTGTGAATTTAAGGACCAAAATTTAACTTTTACAAAGTGTGCTAATGCTGCGATTTTCATGACTGACGAGGATGCTGATGATTTGAGAATTAGTTGTTATTCAGGTGCTGATGTGGCGGTGATGATGACAGTGGTGGTTGATGATAGCGGTGGTGATAGTGGTGGTGATGGTGAGAGTGGTAGTGATAATAGCGGAGATGATTGTGGTGGTGATGATGGAAGTGATCGTGATAGCGTGGAGATGACGTGATGTGGTGATAGTGGTGATGATGATGACGTGATATGGTGGTGATGATGACATGGCGGTGATGATATGGTGGTGATGACGTGGATGACGTGATGATAATGACGTATTTTGGTGGTGACGATGATGACAAACGGATGAAATACAAAGATGAATATTAATGATAGAGAATGATAGCAAATTAATGACGATCGAGGTGATGATTAATGAATTAAACACAACTCGGAAAATTATTATAACTTAATAATTATCATGAATATTTGTATTAATAGTTACATCTGAAGGTTGAGTGAGAGTGACCGATCATGACTTTGTGGTGGTGGTGGTGATTTTGTATTAAGCTGTATCTTGAGATAAGATGAATAAATACAATGTCAGCTTTGTAATATCGTGGTAATGTTGTTACATGTGCATTCACAGAGCCCGAGTCTGTAATGGAGTCTGGATCTCTGTGTGAGCCTTTGGATCTGTGTGAGTCGATGAGAGTATGGGTATCTGTGTAAGTCTACGGATCTTTGTGCGAGTCTATGGGAGTGTTTGGATCTCTGAGTATGTGAGTATGGGTCTCTCTGTGAGTCTTGATATCTGAGTTTATGGGAGTCTATATGAGTATTAGTCTCTGTGTGAGTCTATGGGTTTCTGTGAGTCTGTGTGTGAGTATGGATCTCTGTATGAGTCTATGGGAAGTCTGTGTGTCAGTCTATCGGTCTCTGTGCGAGTCTACGGGAGTCTATGGATCTCTGTGATTCTATGGGAGTCTGTGTGTGAGTTTGGATCTCTGTGCGAGTCTACGGGAGTCTGTGAGTATGGGTCTCTGTGTGAGTATGTGCGTGAGTCGATGGTTCTCTGTGCGAGTCTACGGGAGTCTATGTGAGTATGGGTCTTTGTGTGAATATATGGGTCACTGTGAGTTTATGCGAGTTTATGTCAGTATAAGTCTGTGTGAATATGTGTGTGAGTACGG